ATGGGGGAGCTTACACTTGGGCATCTTTGCGGTTGGATGTGTTCCGGAACGAAGGACTCGACGGTGGTTGATGCGGACGGAACAAAAGTATTGTTCCTCGAGACGAGCGCGCGTATCGTCGCATTCAACGGCGGGCGGGCTGGAGAAAGGAATACAGGCCCCAGGCAAATGCGGCGCGCCTCAGAGCGCCACACCAGCTTTGCTTGCTTGCCAGTACAGAAAAAAGCTACGAGGCTGGCCAATCATACGGAGCTGCCAAGCAGACAAGGCTGCCCCTCCTCTCGGCGGTGATTGGCCGTGCGATTAACCTATCCCCATGGACAGGGGTATCTGAGTGGCCCAGGCTCTCGAACGCGACAGATTGCCAAAAAATCCCCAAAGGGTGTGTGCATGGTTCCTTGGTACCACTTGTCATGGGCCTAGCTTCTCCTATCGCTAGCGTTGTCCACTACCTCAACCTCAGGGAGCTCTCACCACCATCTTGACAACCTCCCAACGCTCGACCTCCCCCCGTCCCGGGAACCGCAAACGAAACCCACCGACTCGAGTCGTTCGTCCCTTTCTTCGTACAGATTGCACACATACAACGATGGCGGCCACGAGATCATTGCTGCACTACGTGTGCGGCCTCGTCCTGCTCGCATGCTGCGCCCAGGCGCTGCGCTTCGACCTGCATGCCACGGGCTCCCACGAGGGCAAGAAGGAGCGATGCATCCGTAACTTCGTCGCGAGAGATACGCTGGTCGTCGTCACGGCGACTGTCGACGGCCACAAGGGTGACGGCATGGTCGTCAACATGCACGTACGTGGTCTCAAGGAAGAAGAGGGCCCCTCTCTCGACTGGGGTATCGGTTCAATTGGATCGGCGCTCAAGGAGGGAGAAGGGAGGAACCCCTCTTGAAGCTCTTTTGGTAGCATACAGAAAAAGCTGACATGCGGTTTGTGTGATTCCAGATCAGAGATGCTGTCGGCAACGACTACGGAAAGCCCAAGGATATCGCAGGCGGCGAGAAGCGCGTTGTCTTCACCTCCCACGCCGACGCTGCCTTTGACGTCTGCTTCGAGAACCTCCTGACTGGATGTACGTGGAACCCCCCTACACCGTCCTCTTGACTTGGCCATCCCCATTGCTCCCCCGCTGCTACAAGAAGCAACACTGAAGCTGATCCCTCCCGCAACAGCCGGCCGCAGTGGCTCCACGAGCCGCCACATCGAGCTCGACATCGACATCGGCGCCGACGCAAAGGACTGGAACGCGATCCAGGCGACGGAGAAGCTCAAGCCCGTCGAGGCGGAGCTGAGGCGCATCGACGAGCTCGTCAGCGAGATCAACACCGAGATGGACTACCTGCGCGCGCGCGAGCACAAGCTGCGCGACACCAACGAGAGCACAAACACCCGCGTCAAGTGGTTCGGCATCGGCACCACCATGATCCTCGTCGGCCTCTGGGGCTGGCAGATCATGTACCTGAGGGCGTACTTCAGGTCCAAGCATCTCATCTAGAAACAAATCGCCCCATTCCTTGTTTGTGGGCGACGCAGGCAGGGCTGTTTGTCTGTGGGCTTGCCCAAAGAACAAAAAAAATTACGAAGTTTACAGAAGCATATCCGCGTTTTTGCCGCGGGTGGATGGTGATGATGGAGTCAAATGCGATGCAACGGGACGGGCATCAACTCACCTCGAGGGTTTCCGAGAGTGTTGTAGTGTATACATACCATGTTCACCATTCGAAAAAAGTCATGAATGATTACGGACATCACATACCGAAAAACCCTCATCGTCATCAGAGCAGTCTTGTGCCACATGAAAATAACGTTCATTGCTACGGCTTGGATAAACTCACTGACCTCCAGTCACCATCACTCACTCAGAACTGCAGTCCTTGTAAGCGATCCAGGGTCATCTACAGACAATCACCGATGCCAAGCAGAGGTAGAAGAATGCTGAGCTAGAAGCAAACAGCAGAGAAAAATTGGGTATTGTTCGACTGCCAAAACTCCCACTTCGTCCAGACGCAATCTGTCTGCTTTATCATGCCGCCGCCGACAGGGCATAAAGCCCCTGCCTTGACCCTGCCCTGCCCTGCCCTTCCCAGCGCCAAGCCATGCAATAACAAGAATCGCGTCGAAAGTAACATGTCTTGGTAAAACAGTTCCCCGCCCGTCAAAGGTTTCATGAACAAATCGGAAAGAGGCAAGTCCCTCTCCTTTCCTCCTCAGCCACCGTGCCAATCATTATCTCGTCATAAGAGAAGAAAAACACAAACTTGGGTTGATCGATCGTGTATACATTATAATTCTGGTTGATCATGTGTCGCCCTCGGGCAGTATCCTACCCAGACTGCGCAGGACCTCCATGACCGGCATCTCTTTGGTGCCGACCGTGGCCTTCTCCCGCGTCTCACGCTCCTTGAGCCGCGCGGCGCTGAGAGAGAGCACCTTATCCGCCTCTCGGCCTGCCGTGTCGACCCGCTGCATGAGCTTGTGGACGCCGTCCGCGAGTTGGTCGACCTTGAACTCCAGCGTGGCCTGTGTGTTTTGAAGACTAGTGAGTGCCTTGGCGCGGATGGAGTCGAACGAGGATGACGGGTTCGTGAGCCAACTGAGCATCTGTGCCTCGCTGGTGTCGAGTACTGATGCGTCTGCCATGGCCGTTTGCGCAGGGTCTGATTCAGGGAATAGCGGCGGGGCTTCTGTGCGGGACTTCTTCAATGCCAGCCACTTCTTCTTTTCCTCCTTCAACCTGTGCGGGATGTCAGAATTCCTGCGCGGACATGCGTCATACGAGTCCTAAACATACCTCTGAACCTTTGCTTCCAATTGTTCAATCTTCTCCTGGTGCTCAATGTTGCGAGGATTAGGCTTGTACACCACGGGCACCTTTGGCCCCTCCGCTCGGCTAAACCAGTCGGAAAATTCTGACTTGTTCGCAAAATCTTTGAGTAGTTGCTCCTGGATGTACCGGGCTGTAAAGAGTTAGCTTTGTGAGAAAACATTGATTGCTGCCCAACTCACCACCCAGAACCGCATTAGAGCCTGTTTTTCCATGCGGCGGCTTCTCCGATAATGCTCGCTCGCCGCACCAGGTCAGCAACTGCCTCATCCGCCGCGGCTCCATGAGACCCTCTGATTCGATATGTTTGTAGAATTCCGCCGTCTCGACCTCCCTGTGTGGGATCGCATTGTGTCCGCTCTCAATCAGTGAGCTCGCTCTCCGGCCTCGCATGCCTGTGCTGCTCCTTCGATTTCCGCCTCCCTTTTTCCGCATCTCCTTGTTTCGATTGATGACCGGTGTGTCGCTGATGGGGAGTGCAATCTTTGCCGACTCTACCGAATCGTTCAGGACGCGCGGTGTAGACCGCCTGTCGACATCCATCGGCTCTGAGCCTTCCGCCTCATCGTAAGTTTCCTCCGGAACAGGTGCTGGTCTCGATGCTCGTCTAGGTGCCGGCTTCTCCTCTTGTTTCTCCACTGGGGCTGTAGAGTTGCGCGTGCTGCGGCGCGTCGTCCGCTTAGGCGCAGGCGCGGGCGCGACCAACTGTGGTTCATCCTCATCGAGCACCTCCAAACTCGGTGGTCGTCGCGTTTTCGCCTTCGAAGTCGCAGTCTTCTTCACCGCCGGTTCCTTAGAGGGTGTAGGTGCAGGCACGGCCGCCGCAGCGCGTTCCTTCGGTGGTCTTCCTCTTCCGGACTTCTTCGGGGGCAATGGTGCGGGCTCCGGCTCCGGTTCTGACTCTGGCTGCGCGTTCTTAACGCGCTTCGATTTCGATCCGCGTGTGAAATGGAAATCGCCATCGGCCTCATCGTAAGTCGCTGCGCGAGATTTTAGCATCCATGTCCGCCCCGCCGCCCCTGGGGCCTCATTCGGCTCCTCAAACTCACCCGCAAGGCGCTTGCTTTTCCTTCTTTCGGGCAATTCGTTGCTCATGCTAATGAATTGTAGCGGTTGACGGGTTCGTGTGACGGTCGTCATGGATGGCGCTTGTCAGGGAGCATATGGTCGGGAGGTTGATTGCCGGCGCTTCGGGTCCTGCAGTCGCACTGCTTGCGATGCAGAAAAATATCGCGTCAATCGCCGTTCAGGCGCGATTTACTTGAATGATTAATGATTTGTCGTCGGCGGGCGTCCTGTCAATCGATTTTTGGCGGGGGTTGTGTCGTCGGTGTCGCGTCTGTCGGTGTTGGCGGCGCGAAAGTGACGAGGTGTAGCTTCGTCTGCGATGTTGTTTACATGAGGGACCATTTACCCGTAGCCGCGCTAAGCCGCTTTCGGAAGTCCCACCACTCACCCACTCACCCCTCCGAAAGGTAAGACCGCCTCACTGACATCACTTGCCTCCTAATTCAACTACACATAGCCCATCGCGTCGATACCTCACGCAGGGACAAATGGCAGCCTTATGCATGCTTTCCATCTATAATTAGGTCAAACTTCACGGTACAAGAAAGGCAAGGAACTCATTCGGTAAAGTGTTATATTGACCTCAACGCATTGCTTCATGCAGCTGTTGTTACCATTGCCACGTCAATACTCGAATCAATGATAAAATAAAATCAACCAGTCCGGCAGATAACGGCGTGTGCCCGTCATCTACCCCTCGACGCCTGCCGCCTTTCAATGAACTTGCCTAACCCGAACTCCTTTTGATGTATATGCCGCGCATCTTGTACCTTTCAATGAAGGAACATATGCGCCGTCGACAAGCCAATGACGCCTGCTAACCTCCCACCTTCAATCCGAGGGGGGCTGCTCCTTTTCTTTTACAGCCCGTTCCTCAGCGAAACCCCATGATCAAGTGGCAGAAGTGAAGTGGTGATGATGGAGCAGGTTTGTCGGAAAAATGATGATACAGTCGAACCGCAAGTCAAGGCTAAGCCGAAGAAATGGAGAAAAGTTTCGCGCATGTACGACGAGAAATCCGACGACATCCAGGAAGCATCTGGGATATTGCCCTGGCCTCGACGCATTCACGAGCGCTTCAAATTACGCATCACTTCTCTCATGAGAAACGTCGCTGGACGCCCTGTCCGGCTGCCAAAACTTGCTGCTGGGGGATAGGCGCACCCATGCCGTACGGGTTCATCTGGGGGTTGAAGGGCTCCATGGCCTGTTGCATGAACGCGCCGTGGAGGCCCTGTTGCTGGGTGACAGGACAGTCCTTGTGTGCCAAAAGCAGCGTCTTCAGGTTAACAACTTCCTCGCGGAGCTGCGTTATTTGTGCTGTCAACGCATCGTTCTCGCTGCTGAACAGCTCAACCTTGGACTGGAGATTAGCCAGCCACTGCTTCTTGCGCTGGCGACACTTCAAGGCGGCGACTCTGCGGTGTTTGTTAGTCAAGGTCAAGATCGTAAACACTACAGGACGTACCTGTTACGCTCCAAGAAGTTCTTCCGCTTCTCCTCATCTGTCATCTTTGACTTGGAGCCGCCTTCCTTGTCGTCATGCTTCTTCATATCATCATCGTCGTCTGAGTGGCTTTCATCACCATTCATGTCAGGAGGAGGCGACAGGTTGGTCTTGGCCTTCTTGCTTGGGGGTGCCTTTGCTGGAGGTTCTTCAGCCTTCCTGCGGCCATTGGTAACCGCGCCACCACCGGTCGAATTACGCTTGCCCTTGCCACGGGTAGAAGGTCGAGCCTGCTCGCTCTCGTCCGAGGCGGCGCTTCCACCTTCGCTTACGCCTCTTACAGAAGATCCAGCACCGGCAGATCCCGCACCGTTTACGCTGCCCATTTGGGGAGAAGTCTCGACACTTTGGGCGGGCGCTGGCGGAGGTTGCGGATGTGACTGAGCCTGCGTCGCGGGGGCGTATCCCGGTGGCTGCGCTCCGTTTCTACCCTGAGCAAGCATGAACAGACCGTTCGCCGCGTCGTTATCGTGGGGGTCGAAGGCACCGGGCTGCTTTGCTTCGGTTTTGACAACTGCGACACCGTTGGCCATCTCCTGCGGCTGAGAAGTGACCGAAGAAGCAGGCTGTTGCTGCTGGTTCTGAGGCTGGTTTTGGTTCTGGTTCTGGGTTTCACGCTTCGCCGCAGCACTCAAAGCCGTACGATGGAAGTCAATCGTACTGGGCGTAGCACCACCACTGGCAAGCTGGGCGAACAATTGCTGAGAGTTGGGACTAGGGGCTGGGAACATAGATCCACTGCCTCCGGGTGTCAAGCCCGTCCTCAATGAAGACTCGTTCGGTGTAGGGAACCCGCCTCGGAGATGATGCGTATCGCTGAAGTAGTCACTTGTAGGGCCGGACAGCATAGCTGGACTCAGGGGGCCCGTTCGAAGCGAGCCTCCTCCCCAGTTGAATGGTGTAGCACCGCTGCCAGGAAGCAGCGAGGATGGAGATGTCAAAGCGGCTACAGATGGCAATTTTGTGCCACCGGGTGTCTCTGGCGCTCCGCCGCCGAAAGACTGCTCGAAGGGATTGGGCTCCAGACTGAGGGATGCAGCTGCTACGCCGCCAAAGTAATCGGGAGTGTTTCCTGTAGCTTGTCCGGGTCGTGGGGGAGGTCCAAGAGGTTTCGCGCCGTCGGCATCGGGCTTCAAACTCGGGTCAGGTTGCTTTACTTCGGGAGCAGTGTCTGGAGGTAGGTGAGCGAGTGAATGACAACAGCGAGGGATGGCAGTTGGCGGCTGGAGGCTGTCACGACGGCAGCAGCTTGCAGATGTTCAACGTACCTTGACGAGGAGGAGTGGCATTGTTTGACTGTTTGGGCGATTTGGTGTCACCCCCGGTCGAGGCGTCGGTCGGCGAAGTTCCCATGATGACGACGATGATGTATTATATTGGGGGAAAAGAGGGTTATTGACGTTTGTGGGGTAAGACGCCGATGGCAAAAAGTGACGGTAGCAGGGGGAGGTATGATGTGTGGTGGTGTTGGAAAAAGCCAGATGAGGTCAGAGGAGGATGGCACGCAGAAGGATAGGCTCAAAAGGATGACAGAGTGGAAGCGAAGGGGAGCGAAAATAGCCCCAAGGTGGGTTGGTAGGCGATACAGAGACAAGAGAGCCAAGTGTGAGAGGAAAGTTAGTCGTCAGAGGCAGCAGCTACGCTATTGCAGCGCTCCTCTGAATTGGAAGCGGCACAAGCTGGAATGGAGAAGCTTTCTGATGATCGACTGCGACGTATCTGGGAAGGGGGGAAGAGTCGTTGTTGACAGACTCTACGGCCGGCAACGAAGTCGTTCGAGAAAAAAAAAAATTACTGAGGTGGACTGCGTGTTGCGTCAGGTATGCGCTGGATGTGTGCACCAGCGGAAGCGGCCAGATGCGATGGTCTGGGAGGTGGTTCTGGTGCTGCTGCTAGGTTGGGGGTGCAGAACGAGTCGAGGCGAGAGAAGGTTGTTGGGAAAAAACGGCAGACGTCACAGGTCAAGTATGACGTTGCGGAGGACGATTTTAAAAAAGGCGAAGGCGCACGAGAGAAAAGAAAATGGGTGGGCGGCGGCGCACACTCTGACACCAGCACGCCCACGTTCAACCACGTCCACACGTCCATGTCCATGTCCCTGCCTGGCCCAGTGTCCCGTCTTGTCTTCTCTCTCTTTCTCGACGCCCACACCCATGCCCACGTCCACCGTCCACCCCCGTTCCCCCGTCCCGGTTCTTTCGTGTTTCTTTTCCTTGCCTCCAACAGCGAATGCGACCGGTGCTGCTTGCTAATCGCACACGTACCTCAAGATGGACTCATCCAGATTGCTTCAAGCGGGTACTTCAGTCTGCTACCGCTGGCTCAGGACCATGTCTTCCATGTTGCTCCTGCTTCCTGCGACTTCAGGCAGGTACTTCGTAGCTACCGGGCACGTAGCGAGCGCGCTTCACATCCACGTCCCCCATCCCCCCGGCCTGCGAGAAACGCTGGGACGAAAGTGGGACGGTGTTTCCCGCACTGTGCGCTGACTGACCCAGGATACCTATCCGTGGACGGCTTGCGAATGAGGAAAGGGTTCCACCACACCACATCCATCTGCCCAACAGGGTGCGCCAATGAGGAACGCATTTTTCTCGACAATGGCGTCGTTGGATTCTCCGTTCGCCGCCTCGCCTGGTGGTGAGGTGCGTCCATACCCGAGTTTCTGCCCGTCGTTGCAGTGCCCACTCCCAGGAGGTCGCGCGACTCTCTCTCCGTTCTACCTTCCTTCTCCTCACTGGGTCTTGCGCGCATCCCGTTGCCGTTCTGTATCAGCAGTGCCGATGGTGACATGGAGCTCAAAAAACACTAAGGTTGGGTCTCCGTCTTTGTACCCATCCATCAAACTCCGTCCCATCTTGCTGCGTCAAGAAAGGAACGGTAGACAAGTCTGCCGAAGCCGCGCACCATTCTCGCGTCCCGTCTTGTCGCTCGACTCGGGCTTCCTGCCTCCCCTCCAAATTTCAACTGTCCTCATGGTTTTGCCTTTCGCCTTCGCCCTATCTTTGATTTATCAGCTGAAGAAACTGGTCGTTGTTGCTGCGGTGCCTCGGCGGCTCGGCCAGTGCTTCCCCTGGCTGGCAATCTGCACACCACCATCCGTCGTTGTCCGTTACCGACATTGATATCGAAGTACTTCTCTCTACGACTATTATTGATCTCGTCGTCCACCGTGCCGCCCCCCGTCTTGTCGTCTTCGAGTCAAAATCCGACACACTGTATGATGCGATGTTGACCATTGTCCTGCAGAAGCGAGTCCGCCGAGACTCGAATTCGCACTGTAAGGTGCGGGCCACCCGCCGGCCTGCGTGTGCTGTCGACGTATGATATGGCTTGGAATGCAACCTTCAAGGGGGTCCGTACGCCCCCGTAATGCAGCAGCCAGTATATGCAGCCAACGTTTCCTACTGTGGCCCCCGCCCCATCTGGTGGCCCCTGCATTGATTGCATCACTTTTCTCTTAGTCGCAATCATCACAACCCGCCCGTCGTCGCTTTTGTCACTCTTCCACAGGCTGCTCGTGACTTTTTATTTTTTTTTCTCTCCCTTTCCGTCCCCTGCGCTCCCCGAAAGTGGCTCCGCGCCAGACTTCACGATCGCCCACTGCCCGGCCCTTCATAACTGCCTGCCGAGCCGCGCTCTTCTTCTCCTACATGAACCCGGGCTCATCCACCAAGGCACCAAAAACCCAGTACATTGTTCTCGCCAAACCAGCAATTCGCACGTCTGGCCTTGTCTTTCATGGTCTAGACCTGTCAACGCCATCGGACCATCTGCACCGTGTGTGCTATATCGAGTGCCTAAAGATGCAGGCGATCATCCGGAGGAATCTGGCCACCAAGAAGAGCGTTACGGTGAACTGATCGGCACTCATTATTGCTCTTTTGGGGCAAACGACACCCTCCCCCATCGCGATATGGTCTTTCAGCCTGAACAGTGCGACCATGAACTGTCTTCCGTATTGAATACCCTCCGCTCTCAATTGTCATCGACTTACGGCTGCCACGCGAAACTCTGCTGTGTCAGACTGTGTTGTTCCATCTGGGAGCAACCAAATCATGGCGGTCTTGTTCTTGTTTTCGCGGATTTCTAATCTGCATCTACATGACCCGGTTGCCGACACGAGCGAGGGATGGCCCTCGAGCGCATCTGGTGCCGTTTTCGAGAACTCTATCAATCTTCCGTCCCAAACTAAAAACAGATATTGTCAGTAAACCCGTGACGTAATGCGTGTCTGAAGGATGAGCCCATCGCGTCGCACACCCAAAAGACACTCCTGCGTACACGCGAAAGCTGCTACTTGTTGAACTTCATGCCAATTCGGGATCCGTATCGGTGATAGAAGATAGAGTTCGACAGTAATGGCAGTTTGCGTGCACTATCGAGAAAGGATTTTCGATACAGTGGTCAATAATGTGCTTTGCGCTCTCTGGGGTTTCTGTTCGTAAAGGGACTTGGTATGAGCGTGGCTCGACAGCGTGCTAGTGCTGTGACGCAATTTGTTGGAATCAGCAGTCGTCCAGTTAAGGCGGGGAGACTCGATGCCAGGCCTCCCTGGCCGAGTCCTCTCCATCGCAGGTTCTCATTGGAGGCGGGAGTCAGCAATTTGCCATTCCTATTGGCAACCGTTATGATTTCCGCTGTTTGCCCGGCCATGGCTTGGGCCAATGTCTGAACGAAAAGGGGGCGCACTGTCCCGGATACTTTTCAGCTTTTTTTCCTTCGCATTGGTGGCGTCACAGGACATGACGTAATTGTGTCTCGTCAAACTATCAACGAATGGGATACCTTTGTAGTCTCCCAGCGGAAGCAGCCAAGCAAACGATACCAGATGCCTTGCCGCGACTGGTCGTCCGGCACCATCGGGAGACGAATGTCGAGGGGAGGGGTGGTGCGCATGGTACGGAAAGCACATCGCATGCATCGCATCGTACAGCGAAGCATTGCCAGACAGTGAATAGCCCAAACACTTGACGGCACACTTCCTCCACCAGACGGGCGGTTCAGCCCAGTCGCGCGGACGGTGTCTCTAAGAACTGGAGCCTTCTCATCGACGATGAATCCGCGATCTCAACAGACCCCAATCCTCACAGTGGCCAGATCTTTGCAGAAGTTTTCTACACAGTCTTTCCGACCCACAGGTTCGCTACGAAATGACGGCGTGCTCCCGTCCACGTCCATGGTCGCTTCCGCTAGGATGGTGCCGATTCGGTTCAGTGCTTGGCCTCCGAGGCGTTGAGCTTTTGGACCGACCATGAGCGGCGCGAGACTGCAGATTCACATCAAAACGGATACGTTTCTCCGGAGCAGAGCTGCTTCGTCGGTTACCGTCTTATGACGCACTAGACCCAGAGTGCCGCCCCTGCGACCGCCCACCCACAGGATACACTGTGCTGAAAGTTTGAATTTCGCGACCGCGTCGCACCGCACTGTACGGATGACCTGCTGGCTCCATCCTTGATGCATCTGGAGCTCCAAGGCGCACCCCCCCGACGGCGCGATACGGTGACTTGGCTTTTCCTGGACGGAGCACGGAGGAGTCGCGTTTTGAGCAAACAATGTCCTCCTGCAGCATTCTGACCGAACAATGACGGATCGACAATTCTTGTCTATTGGACGCGACGGCTCGTCCGATATCCTTCAAGCTGGTTCTCGCTCGACGCTGTGCATCTCTCCTTATCTTGAGATAATCGATCTAGAGCCGATACGACGCCAGGACAACGGGAGGAATTCCAGCTCGGACTTCTCGACATATCGTCTCGCATCTTGGCACTACAAAATGGATTAATAATGGAAGCAAACATCAGATTCTGCTTAGCGTGGTATCCTGTGGTCCATCCCCTCGGTTCAGCACTATTCGGGTCTGTTTGAGCCTCATCTCGCATTCCTGCCTCGCGGAGAATCTCGTCCGATAGTCCTTGGCGGCCACCGGCATTCAGCTTCGCGACTTGACATCGCATCTTCAGAATGAATGTGTGCGTGCGCTCACCTGTCGCCTGATCCAGCCAAGAGCCTCACTGTCCATCCATTCATGGTGCTGCATCGCCAAATCTTGTCGACGATCTCATCCCCAACCCGTCGAACTTTCCACCCACCATCTTTGCTGAAGGGGCGTTAGTGAACCGCAGTCAAGGACACCTACCCCCCTGCCATCCCACCCAGATCGCTTTCGGATCTTGCATCGGAGTCGATGCCGGACGGGCGTCGTCAAAATTCACAGTTTACGCCGCGTGGCATTGCTGCTGCGCGTAGCACGAGACCTCACAATCTGTGGTGCTGCGTGAATGGCTGCCGCTAGATTCAAGGACCATGTTTCAGTGAACGCTAACGGCAGGCCATGCTGCGACCTCAGC